CCCATTGCTCCCCCTGCTCCCATTCCCCTCATTGTGCCCCCTCCCCCCATTGCTCCCCCTCCCCCCATTGCTCCCCCTCCCCTTGCTCTCCTTCCCTCATTGATCTCCCTCCTCCCTTTGCTCCCCCTTCCCTTGCTCTCCTTCCATTTACTCCCCTCCCTTTGCTCCCCATCCCTCCAGTGCCCCATTCACTTCAATACTTCCCACCACTCTCTCCCCCCTCACTCTCCATCATCCACTCCTCACTCCCCCTCCCTCTCCCTTTAATGTTTAATGTAATAAAATAAATATATGTAGTCTTAGTTAATATATTTTTATTTTTATTGAGCATTTATCAGTATAAATAAGTGCAGAACTGTGATTTCTAGCTTGGCAATATTTCAAACAGCCCACTTTCTAAGTTGGAACTTACCATGGATTCCACCCTGGAAATTGATGGAATTCATGTAAAAAAAGTATGGAATCCATCTGGAAAAAGCATGGATTCCAACAACCAAAGTGTGGAATCCATACTGGGGAAGTATGGATTCCATCAACCATTCCATGGAATCCATCTGATGTTTGTGGAATCCATTCCCCCTTCCATGGAGTCCATATGGAATAACCTGGGGAGTGTAAAGTATTGGTGAAGTCCTTGGTTGGGGGAAGGTATTTCAGTCGGTGTTGGCCTCGTTCGTTGTTCCTGACCTGATTCTTCAGACTGAGTCGTGGGATAGGTAGGAGGCATCATTTGATGTAGAATCATAGAAGCCTCTGTCGTGAACCATGACCTGGATTGATGGTCCAGTCATAAACTCTTCCACAAGGCATAGACCTGTCCATCGCCTAGCTATCCAACTTAACTGGCCTCCCTCTCCTATGAAAGCATGAGCATGACTCACATGAGGGCGGTGCAGTAGGTCGTTTATTCTTGCAAGGTATGAAGTGCAGAAGGTCGCTGCGTTCTCGGTAGGTGAGAGATGAGGTTCCTGGAATCCTGTGGCATATAAAGAAGAAGCTGAGGTGCGGTCAAGATTGTCGATGATGATTGGTCAGAACTGCTGTAAACAGTCTTGAGGTAGTGCTAGGTGGAATCAAAGGCCATGCTTGATGGCTATCATCAAGAGTCTCCGTACTGTCCCAATTGTGTCCCAGCAGTTAGCCCAATATCTCATCTGAGCCTCACTTTCAACATCGGGGAGGAAGATGTATGCTGTTTCCAGGAACTCCGTGTTCCAGGCAAAGCCTGGTGCAAACCATGTACTTTCCATGTAGGTGATCTTTGCTGACTCGTCTTTCAGCATCCTGCAGAACATAACCTCTGGCCACTCATGTGAAGCAAAGAAGGGGTCTAGTAAACAAGCCAGGGATTGTGAGTGACAATAAGGGGAAGGGTCATCCCTGCGTGCTGTGTGAAGTTCCATTGTTCAACGTCTGGCTTTGTCAAGCTTCCTTGTGTTGTATCGGATCCATGCTATGGGGCTGTTGATGGTGTGTGAGTGGTATAAGATGTCTGGGACGACTGGGAAGGCAACAGATAGAAGATCCTCGTTGGTAGAGTCACTGTGCATTTCTATGATGGAGTCATCTGAACAAATGTCACTGGTAAGTCAATCCTGGAGGGACTGTGCTCTGCTGAGACACTCAAGAAGGGAGTGGTTTGGGAGCTGTGCTTTTGTCAGAAAATCATAAGGCTGGTTTCTTAATCATAAGTGATGCCTGGCTTGGGGGTGTAGTCAAATCGGTACATTTCGCAGATCAGGGTTGGAGGTTCCTCTCCCAGTAGTAGAGCTTTGTACTGTCATTGCAAGGCTCCCTTTTCCTCCATCTCCAGAATACAACAGTCTTGTACCTGTTGTCCTGGTCTTCCTTGATGACTTTGTAGTGGTAGAATTTGATGAGGGAGGCAAGTGTTGCTTTGTCTCGATAGGCTGGATGCCTCTTCCATCCCTCAAAGTCAATTATGAAGATGGCATAGGTGTGGAGGATGGGTGTCTCATTGATGCTCTGATGGGCAAAAGCTTGGAAGTAGTGGTCCAGTTTCATTGCGTGGCAGGCGATTTTATCAATATCCGTCTGCTCGAGATCAGGGATCAAGGCCAGTGGTGTCCCCTGTCTGACTGCCCAGTATGTTAGATTCAGGCCTGGAGTAAGGCAGCTAAATCATTGGTTGGACCAGGCTTCAAAATCCCATAGGTAAAAGAAGGGGACGTTGTTCTGGAGGTATAGGGGGATGTTAATAGTCTGCCTGTCTCTGTCGAGATCACAAATCATGCCCCTCTTTCCCTTAACCATTGAAAGGAGTGACAATATTTGGTGGACAACTGTGTCCACCAGACCCTTCTCCCAGTCAACAATGATCATTGTCCACCACAATAACCATCCAATCATGTAAGACTGATCATTTTGCCTTTGCAACGTTGATTTGAACTAGTGTTCACAGGCCCAGTCTACAGGACTGAACTGGACTGAACCACGGTCCAGTCTTTTTCCAGTTGCAGTTGCCCACATTCGTGGTTAGTCCAGTTGCCAGTTGCCATGTTTTTGTAAATATTTAAAAACCGAAAAGACTGGTTTAGACCAGTTGCAACCGGTCTTTTGTCCCATCACGTGTTGGACCTTACTTGCACACATTTTTACTCAATTTTTGGTCCCTTAATCATCAAAAATGGTCAAGAATTGGTGAGGTCTTTACCTTCCCTGGTATAATCCATATGGAATCCATGGAATCAATGTTGGCTGAGGACACAGCTAGTTTCTGATTCCCTGGACATCATGGATTCCATATGGATTCCATCAGATTCCATATGGAATGCAGGCATATCCACATGGATTCCATGGAGCAGTCCATATGGATTCCATGGAAGGAATTAATGACTATTATACCATTAGAATACAGTGTCCTTACTATATTTAAGTAAAACAATTTTTTTTACATCTCGAGGAATTGAACTCTTGACCTCATGAATGTAAACAGCACTCAAGCTGACTGAGCCATGAAGGCATTATTATATGAGAAACTAAAGGTATATATATACCGCTTTTAGGCACGTGCCGCGTCAAACGTGACAGCTGTGGCTGAAGTGTTGCCAAGTCGTTCCTTCCTTCCTTCCACCACCATCACCATCCACCACCACCGTTTCAAACCATGACAGCCCACAACATCGACGACGACGACGTGTGACAAGGGCCCAGCCCAGGTAAGTGGGAACAAACACCCCACCCACTCTCCTTTTTAACACAAACCACAGGTGCCACGTTGCGACGTGGCAACCAGACGGCGAACGACGACATCAGTCATCATTCGCCGTATCTGCTCAGCCACGAGGACCCACCACCACGAACAGAGGTCTTATCAGTGCCCCCCTAATTCCTGCAGGAATCCGGTCATTCCTGTGGATTCCGGTGGATTCCGGAGGAATGAAATTTGGCAGGGAGGCCTGCCATTTTCACCATTCCGGTGCCTTACCAATCCGGCGGAATTTGGGCATTCCGGAATTGACACCGGAATGATCCGCGGAATGCACAGGAACGGAATGCAACGGAATCCGGTCCTTTGTTTGTTTATTTTACTTGTGTTACCAAACAAAGGCAACATTACCAAACAAATGCAACACCATTCCATTCCACCACCACCACCCATCCTCTTCCCCACCCCCACGACAGTCACGATAAACCAACAACAACAACAACCCCACATGACCCCACAACAGCGACGACCACCAAGCGACGAACAGCGACAACCACCGCCAGTGACGTGGCAACCAAATGGACAACAACAACAACACCACCGCTATGCACGAGCACCCACCACCATCCAGACGGCATCCATGAGTGCCCACCACGACGACCACGTGAACGCTGCAATGCCACGTCACAAATCAAACAAGCCCCCCACGGCACGATGGCAACGACACCCACGACAATAACGACGTCCATGGCTACGACAACGACATGCGACAACAACAACAAGACAACAACAACACAACAACAACAACACAACAACGACCACGCGACAACGACCACACGACAACGACAATGCGACAACGTCCACGCGACAACGTCCACAACTACGACGATGGCACACAACGATGTCCACACAACGACGACAACGCGACGATGACCACACAACGACGACAACACGATGATGACCACGCGACGACACAGGATGATGACGTCGATGGACGACGAGGCCCAGCACTACCCCCTTCCCCTTTATTATCACACCCCCACACCACTCCCTGTCCCTTCCCTCCCTCCCTTCCTTCCTCCCTCCCTTCCTTCCTTCCTGCCTCCCTCCCTCCCTTCCTTCCTTCCTTCCTGCCTCCCTCCCTCCCTTCCTCCCTCCCTTCCTTCCTCCCTCC